AGATTAACACCTCATCTCATTTCGTTTTTCTTGCCTAAATGTAGAACCTTATTCTTTTCACCATTGAATTTCATTTTATTAGATAGTGCCCAATGTTCAAGTTTGTCAAGATCCTTCTGTATCTTAAGCCTGTCTCCTGGAGTGTTGGCTATTCCTGCCAGCTTGGTGTCATCTGCAAATTTGATGAGTTCCCCATTTATTACCTCATCCAAATCACTGATGAAGATGTTGAAGAGTACTGGGCCCAAAACAGAGCCTTGGGGTACTCCACAGGCAAAAGTGTTGTCCTCACTGCAGGATGACTCTGGACCAAAACGGGACACCCTGGGAATATTCAAGCTACAGATTTGCAACTCACTGATTTTACACTTCTTGTAAAGCTTAGGGATCACTTCTATTCACATTCCCTTCAGCACTCAGCTATATCTGGATTATATTGCTCTGTAATGAAATTGGGTGACATTTACTCAAAGGTAATTATTTACCTGCATGTATATCATTATGCTTATACTGTACTGCTTTTCTTCTTCATCAGCAACCACAACTACTATAACCCTTCCAGTGAACACCTTAGAAATTCAGCGATTCCCCCGCGAAGCCCAGAAAAACATGGGGACAGAGAGGCCAAGAGAGGGTGTGGGGAACGAGCCCATCACAGCAACAGTCATCCCTCAGATCAGTGGAGTGCAGATTTGCAACACCATCCGGGATCTGGAATGGAAAGATGGGATTGCCACTTTGCCTGGGAGCAACCTAAGGGTAAATCAGTGAAAACTCTTTTTTTGTTGTTCTTAGGTGTGTATACCATTGGGCAAATTTCAGGAGTAGTACTTAATTGATACAGATTAGTTCTCAATTTACGACCACCCACCCACCAACCATTCAAAATTATGACAGATGCCTCTCCCAAAAGCTACTTACGATCTAATTTTGAATTTACAGAAGGCTGACCACACAAACACACCTGCCATAATGTGATTGCAATTTGGGCACTTGGCGACTATCTCACTTTTATGGCTGGTTGCCACTGTCTCATGAGTGCAAGTTTTAACTTTTATTTTTTCCAGTTTCTGGTGTTTACTTCTGCTATCTGGTGAAAAAAAGTCGTCTGGATAAAATGGATTTCCTTCATGAACACTTCATTTGCTTATCAACAGTAATGTTCACTTAATGAGCAGCAAAGAAGAAGTCATAAAATGGCTGATTTAATGACCGAAAAAATTTAAGACTGTAATTCTGGGGTCAGTTATGTTCATAAGTTGAGAATTACTTATATTGGGCCTTTCAACAGCACACAAAAAAGGAAAACAGGATGAGAACCTGGCTCTGGCGTTCAGGTCTTTTGCTGAAGCATGACACTTGTCCCTAGGTACCCTCAATTGCATTTATATACTTAATTAAATCTGCAGTTCCAATTTGAGATGATTATTTAATAGAGATCTAGAATTGATCATTGAATTTTTTTAAAGGAATTTAGGCCAGCCTCTTAAGTGATCATCCATTACCACATTCTTTTACTAAGGCTTTATTCTGGCAAGTATTCCCTTTGTCCCTGAACTCCTGATGTCATGCACATTAGTGTGTCCTATGAACATGCCCAAAATACGCATTGGTTCAGCTGCTGTTTGAAGCTTACCTGACAAAGTGTCGGTGAAGGTAAACCAAGATGATTGTAGGTGTGTTTCCCTAGGCTCAGTGAAAGAAGGTCAATTTGTTTTCACTCCATCACAATATTGTCATGTCCCAAATTGGCCGCTTGCTTCCCTGTTGACTTTTTCTTTCCATCTTGTATTGACACAGTTTCGAATAAACGAATATGGGACAGTGAAAGTAGTTAGTGCTGACAAACCTTCACCTGCAGAACCCATACAGGAATGTCAGCCGGAAAGAAATGGGGATGATGGAGGGGTACTTACCTGCAAGGGCAATCCAATCAGGACTCCAGGTGAGGATTTGGAGAGGATTTCCAGTCCCAAAGTAATGTTGCAAACAAATTCTGTGTAGGTATCAGATAACCTATTCCTTATTTTATTGGTCAGCAGGCTTACTCTTTGAAAAATGAAGAAAAGTGTACCCAACTGTTATGGCAGAAGAGAATTGACTTTAAAAAGTTTGAATTCAGCAAGGGATCACAGAGGAAAAAAATCCATAAAATTTGCATAATGTAAAAATGTTAGGAAAGAGACAATCAGACAGTAGCTTAGAATGCTGCTAATTGCTTTATTCTTAATGCCCCCCCCTTTCTTCATCCCTTATAATCAAGTTGGAGCTGCCATCAAAGAGTTGGACTGTATTCCAGAAACTATAATATTTATACTTTCTCTATATGGTAATTTTTGTACCTATTAATCATAGGCCCATATATTTTTGTATTTGAGGCTTTGCAAAATGTAAAGGGCTGTGTTTCAAAATGGATGATTCCAGGGACCATTTGTGGAGAGGAATTCTAGTGTTGTCAGTGATAAAATTAATTCCTTAAACCTTTGCAAAGTGTAAAGTGTCATTCCGATACTTAACACCCCCCCCCCAAAAACCCCATTGAAAAATATAAAAGAGATAGCTTCTGCTATTCTGTCATGGTTTGAAAGGTAGGCTATTATGTTTTCATTTTGTGCCTTTGACCTAAAATATGTAAAATTGGCACATAAAACATACCCGCAGCTCACCCCACTGGATTATCATTCTGCAATTTGACCTGACCCAGAAAATCTTCTCATTATCATAACATTGATGTGACTTATTTGAGCTTTTCACATTCTGATTTCTGTAGAATCAGATATTCCAGAGCCTCTTAAACTTCCAACGGTGGACAACCTATACCACTGCAATACCTGTGGCCGAAGAAATATTTCTGGGTCAACCCAGGAAGGCCGGGCATTTTGTAGTGAGAACTGTCACCGGCAGTTCAAAGAAAGGTAATAAAGAGGTTGCCTTTAAAGGGGGTGGGGAGAGGAGGTAGGGAGAGAAGAAAAATTAATACACTTTTTGTCTTGTTCCTACTGTTTTTTCCATTTCTTCCATGGACAGAAAGAAATACTGTAAATCTTGTTTTAAAGAAGCACTTGGGCAAAAGAGCATCCATTAATGCTGAATAACTAATATAGATAAATTTATGTAACATAGGCAGGGGTGGTATTCACTTAATTTCCCTACTGGTTTGCAAATGTGAGGCCGTACATGCCCTGTCCACACATGCAATTGGCCTTCCGCCATGCGCTTTGGCTTGAAAACGTGCCTAAATAGGATGGCATAGAGCTGGGGCAAGTGGGCAGGCCTACCTGTGATTTCCACTACCAGTTCGGGCAAACCGGTCCAAACTGGCTAAATACCACCTCTGAACATAGGTTACATCAATGTTTCTCAATATTATTAGCTTTAAGATGTATGGATTCAACTCCCAGAAGTTAGTGAACATTGTAGAGAAGCACAACCTACACATACGCATATTAAGTGAACTTTCTCCGTAGGTAATCTTTTGGCATGAGGATTTTACATTTTCTTATAATTTCACCAGAATGAATGTTCCCAATTTCAAAAAAAAAATTCATCTAGATTGAGGCATTTTGGTTTCTTTTTTTTTATTCAGGAGAGGATAAGAATATGATGTCAAAATTGCTTTGTAGCGTTGAATGTCAAGCATGGACTTATTTTCAACGTTGATTAGTCTTGAATTTCCAACTATAATGATGGTTGAGAAACAGAATTAAATTGCATGAATCAATTTCATTTAAGGTTTTATTGCAGTATCCTCTAGTGGAAATGCTGTAGGTAAGGTGTAGTATTTCTGAATGTTTAAAATGTCTGAATGTTTATTGTATTTTGTCAATGTTGTTGAAGTTCTAGTATTAAACCCAAGTCTCATTGCTTGAGCAACTTTATCTGGAGAATCTGCAAGTTTGGGTGTTGTTTTTGCAGGTCTGTCATTGTGGAGAATTCTGCTGGCATCACTAACACTACTGAACTTCTCAAGCCAGTAAAGAAACGGAAGAGGAAAGATTATCAGAGCCCTTCAGAGGAGGAAGAGGAAGAATCAGAACAAATGGTGTGACTGGGATGTTCTTGCATGTATTTGCAGTAGAATCTGATAGCAGCATTTTTTTTCCTGGTATGCATGCTCGCTCATTCACTGGACTGGCCTAAATTAGAGCCAGTCAGACCATGGAGCCATAGCTTTAACCAGTGGACACTCCAAAATAGGGATGGGCAACTTTTTTTTTTTTTAGTGCTGGAGAATGGTGCAGCTGCTTTAAATTCTTTGGTGCCCCATAGATATAAAGGAATGGTCCATAGGCAGAATGTAACATGCGTATTATCAGGGTTCCATCTGACACATATTTGCACATGTAACCTATAGGACCTAGAGAGGAAAGAGATGTTCATATTTGTCCTCTATTCACTTAGTGATCAAGATTTCGCTTCTAAGTGACTCTTATATTCTAAATATAGGTTGTTCTACATACAAAGATGGTACTGAATAGTGGGGTATCCATTCTTTTCCTAAGTTGGGTGTCCCATGGTACCTTACCATTGTTCCCCTACTTTCCACTGGATGGTTTGAGAAATATCTTTGCTGCACCAGATACATCAGCTTTTGTTGGTTTCTCTTTGTGGTTGTATTTTGATTCTTCACAAAATGGGGGAAACAAGGCAGAGTGCTAGGTGGAGGCCATTTCATATAATTTTCTTTGGCCAACAGGGCAGCGCTCTGAGAGATTAAGGGGAGAAGGTCAGGACAGTCAGACTGCATTGTGCAGAAATAAAAATAGTGCTGGTAATTTTGGACATGGTCAAAGCCAGTTGTCATTTGAAAGAGTCTACCTATACTTTTTGGTTTTGAAATAATTTATTACTTGACAATTGCTTAACTTTTTAAACTTACAAATGTATACATTATAACCCTATTTATTTATCAAATTTATATGGCTGCTCATCTCACGAGGAGTGACTCCTACATATTCAGAATTCATATTCATTACACTGCAGAATTACTAATCTACATTGTCTTACCCATTGAAAACCGCACATTATACAAGCCCAGTACCCTCCAGATGTTTTGTATTAAATAATTTATAATCTGCATTATTGAATATGATTGTGTGAGCTGAAAGGAGCTATAGTTCAAAACATCTGGAGGACATTGCTAATTTAACCTTAATGCAATGCTCTATTAAACTAGCTTTTATCTTTGAATATATTACGAAACCACAGCTATTTACAGGATAAGTCGAAAGCAGTAGCTTGTGCATCTTGATTGAGCCTCTTCTCTCACCTCTTCTTCTTTTTGATAAAGTATTCCTTACCTATGGATTTTTCACCTCATGTATCACTATATCACCAATTTAGAAATTGTTATTGTAAATGCTTTGTAGAAGCATCCCTAAGTTGTAAATGCAACACATGGCTAAATTAACATGTTGCAAGGAATCTGGAACCAAATATTGCCCCTTAGTTCTTTCTTCTTCATTAAAGTACTGCAAACAGCATTATTTAATAGCAGGATTACTATTCTGTTTTCTGAATTGAAATCATACTCCCACATTCATTCCATTGCATAAATGCAGCAGCATGCAGAGCCAAAGTTGCAGTTATCTTTACAGGGGATAAAATCTGATCATAATTCTGGTACATCTCTTTCCAGGAGTATGACTGGTAAAAACTGGGATAGTGGAATTTTGGAATGGTGCAGCATTACTATACTCCTATTCTCTAAACAATTTTTGCTCTATAGACCAGCAGAAAAATAAAAGTCTCTTTTTGATTGGACTGATTTCAAGTTAAAAATAACTTAATCTGAGTACCCAGATTGTTGGGGGCAATATGCTAACTCTGTAAACTGCTTAGAGCTGTAAAACTGTAAAACACTGTGAAGCGGTATATAAGTCTAAGTGCTATTTCTATTAAAGATATGCCCAGATCTCCTATATCATATTTGTATTTGCCTTAAGTTGCAAGTTCTCTCAAGGAACAATTCAGCTTTGGTTTTAGCTGTATTTCTACAAATTTTTGTTATGTATCAACACACTGAAACTAATCTTATAGAAGCAAAGATTCTTGTAGCATCATAAAGACAGCAAATTTATGATAAGTCCTGGATCACCAACTTGGAGCTTGTAGACACCACTAAATCAACAATGTTCTTCTTGTTGCCTTCAAAGCTTTTTGCAGTTATCAAGAGGTACAAGTCTTTCTCTGCTGTGGCTCAAAGAGGAATTGAGATTTTTTTTCGCACTTTGCATTGTGTTAATCAATTCACTAATGTGAGAATGTCTGTGTCATATGCAGCAAATATTTTGAGAATGCCAGTGTAATAAGGTTATTCTCACATCTGTGTTTTATTTTCCACTGACCTCTCTTTGCAGCCTCTGTCATCCATCACAGGCATTTATAACACTTTGTAGATCTGATGAAGGGAATTTTGAAAACTTATGCCTTGAGCTTATATCACAAATATTGTTTGTCTTTAGAGTGCTACAAAATTCTTTGATGTATTACAAAAGGTAACCGGAAATGGATCATAGAAAGCTAGGGAACATAATCTTAAACCCCAAGATTGCAGGTAACCCATCATCCAAACCCTGGAGTGACTACAGAGGTGTTTAAAAAATTGGTGCCAAATAGAATATTTTATTTCTGAAAACTCATGAGGAATAATGTTATTATTATATAATAATTATTTATTTTATATATATGAGATTTATATAATATATATGAGATTTCGTTTGTGTGCCTTAGGAACTAAAGCAGGAGGAGATAAATGGTTCAGGAGGAGAACTTCCTGCTGTTAATAATAGTAATGAAGAATGGAATGCCGATCAGTTTGGTAAGCATATAGCATGGCTTATTTGTTTGAGGAACTATAATGTAATCATTAATAATCCACAAATATGAAATGGTATGTTCTGTCAAAGGTCATGTTTTTCTTTATTCATTCTGAGATGCAGTCTGGCTGTGCCTGTCCCATCTGCAGCCAGAAAGTACAAATGCAGAATAAAAGGAAGAACCTAATGATTTTGAGTAAAATGCAATGTTCAGTCCTCAACAACTAAAAGCAGATGGTGGCTATAATTTTTGAAAAGAAGAGTATCCTAAACTTTGCCCTAAATGTCTAAAATGTCACTTAACATAATGTTTTGGAAATTTCATTTGTTCCATTTTCTGATATTTTTAGTTTCCAGTGAAAAGGCAGAAAGTTGGACCTGGGCATCATACTTAGAAGAACAAAAAGCCACAGCTGCTCCTTTAAATTTGTTCCAAGAAGTGAGTTATTTTTTTACCTGCTATCTTTATGGAGCTTTGACATTATTTATTCTGTAATCATTGATTATTTTCTTTAAGAGAATCTTGATTCTTGTTTCTGGTTCCTGTTTTTTATGGTTGCTGTACTGTAGGAGCTTCTTTTTACCTGAGAGATTCATTCCATAACACATATGTATTTCTCAAATTTCAATCTCAAGCAAAGATAAGAAAAGAAAAAGCAAACATTAATGGTAATGTTCATTGAAAAAGAAAAAAATAATGAATTTGGGAAAGAGAAAATGCATTCTGGGATATGGATACAATATGGTAGTTTTTTTTAAGACCATTAAGCTTTGGAAAGTCAAGTGAAATTTAAATGTAGCAAATAAAGTTATTTTGTTATGGAAGAAAAAAAAATGAAATCAGATACTCTTCTTTTACAGGTAGTCCTCAACTTACAATCAATCATTCATTTAGTAACCAAAATTATAGTGGCACTGAAAATGGTGATTTATGGCCAGTCCTTGCACTTAACAACTGTTGCAGCATCTCCTTTTTACATGATTACAATTTGGGCACTTGGCATGTATTTATGATGGTTGCAGCATTCTGGGATCATGTGATCACCATTTGCGATCTTTCCAGCTGGCTTCCATCAAGCAAAGTCAATGATGGAAGCCCAGTTTGCTTAATGACTGTGATTCACTTAACAACTGCTGTGATTTGCTTACAACCATTTTTTAAAAAAAACCTTGTAAAATCAGGCACAACTCTTTTAACAGCCACCGTGCTTAGCAAGGGAAATTCTGGCCCCAACTGTGATCATAAGTTGAGAACTACCTATACCAGGGGGGAGCAGTGGTGAAATTCATTTTTTTTACTACCGGTTCTGTGGGCGTAGTTTGGTGGACGGGGCAGGGGAAGAATACTGCAAAATTTCCATTCTTCCCCACTCTGGGGCCAGCCAGAGATGGTATTTTCTGGTTCTCCGAACTACTCTAAATTTCCGCTACCCGTTCTCCAGAACCTGCTGAATTTCATGCCGGGGGGGACGGGGACGGGACGATCTTTCACAACAATTAAAGTGCAGAGATAGTTTTATTATTTTGACATATTTCAAGACTTCAAAATATGTGTACTGAACTTCTGTTTCTAATAGAAGCAGAAACAGGAGGCAAAATGTGTACTCACATGGGAACCGCCATCATGGTTAATGTCTTATTGCAGTAGTTTCCATTTAAATGTATCATTAGAAGAAATTATGTATCTCTTACATTTTTATGTGATTTGTTCTTTTCAGCACCAGTCAATTACCCCAAATAAGAATGGCTTCAAAGTAGGAATGAAACTGGAAGGCATAGATCCTCAGCATCCCTCAATGTATTTTATTCTCACTGTAGCAGAGGTGAGATCTGTTGCATATTGTTCTAGCTCAGCTAATCACTTGTTTGTCCCTAGTTTCTTTCATTTACGTAATTTAAAGCTCGCCATTCATTTTAGGGTGAATATGCATCCTAGTTGCAAGAAGTACTAAAACTAATAATAGGGGCAAAAAGGTTGTTATCATAAAATAACATACACTATCAGTGGAAAGCAGCACGTGATGATTTAACAGGATAGCCCATGTGTTTCTGTTGCTTTTTCTGCATGCAGGTATGTGGCTACAGGATGCGGCTTCATTTTGATGGCTATTCTGAATGCCATGATTTTTGGCTGAATGCTGACTCTCCCAATATTCATCCTGCTGGCTGGTTTGAGAAAACAGGACACAAACTTCAACCTCCCAAAGGTAGGGAGATTAGGACAGTGCATTTAGAAGCTCACTTCCAAAGCTTTTGTTGTCTGATGGCAAAGTGAATGAAGGAGTGAGTGAATGAAGTGCTTTCAGAGGAATGGAGACAATGGTGAGGTGGACAAATCTCTAGGTTTTGGTGTCTAGTTTTTCCAAAGCTAAGTTGCTAAGTCAATTTCATTCTGTTTTTATATCACTGTGTAACTCTTTTAAAAGCCCACAAGAACATTTTCAAACATATTTTGGCAAGCAATATGATCAAGGAGAGAAACCACCTAGAACTAAAGAGAAATTTCCTGACAGTTAATCAGTGGAACAACTTGAATCCTGAAGTTGTGAATGCTCCACTGGAATTTTTTAAGAAGAGATTGGACAACCATTTGTCCGAAATGGTATAGAGCCCTCCCCCCCCCCCCCGGAAGAAGACCTCCAAGGTCCCAAGTAGGATAAACATTCTCCAAAACAAGCAATAAGTAGTCTTGAATTATATACACAGTCTATGATACAACATGTTGGTTTACAGATGCTCAACTC